GCTCCACGCTCCCTGCGCCCTGCTCCACCTTCCCCGCCCCTCGCTCCACGCTCCCCCCTCACGCTCCACGCTCCCTGCGCCCTGCTCCACCTTCCCCGCCCCTCGCTCCACGCTCCCCCCTCACGCTCCACGCTCCCTGCGCCCTGCTCCACCTTCCCCGCCCCTCGCTCCACGCTCCCCCCTCACGCTCCACGCTCCCTGCGCCCTGCTCCACCTTCCCCGCCCCTCGCTCCACGCTCCCCCCTCACGCTCCACGCTCCCTGCGCCCTGCTCCACCTTCCCCGCCCCTCGCTCCACGCTCCCCCCTCACGCTCCACGCTCCCTGCGCCCTGCTCCACCTTCCCCGCCCCTCGCTCCACGCTCCCCCCTCACGCTCCACGCTCCCTGCGCCCTGCTCCACCTTCCCCGCCCCTCGCTCCACGCTCCCCCCTCACGCTCCACGCTCCCTGCGCCCTGCTCCACCTTCCCCGCCCCTCGCTCCACGCTCCCCCCTCACGCTCCACGCTCCCTGCGCCCTGCTCCACCTTCCCCGCCCCTCGCTCCACGCTCCCCCCTCACGCTCCACGCTCCCTGCGCCCTGCTCCACCTTCCCCGCCCCTCGCTCCACGCTCCCCCCTCACGCTCCACGCTCCCTGCGCCCTGCTCCACCTTCCCCGCCCCTCGCTCCACGCTCCCCCCTCACGCTCCACGCTCCCTGCGCCCTGCTCCACCTTCCCCGCCCCTCGCTCCACGCTCCCCCCTCACGCTCCACGCTCCCTGCGCCCTGCTCCACCTTCCCCGCCCCTCGCTCCACGCTCCCCCCTCTACGCTCCCTGCTTCCCCCTCCACGCTCCGCTCCACGCTCCGCCCTCCACGCTCCTCGCTCCCCCCTCCTCGCTTTACCCTTCGCGCTCCACCCTCCACGCTCTCCGCTTCACCCTCCACGCTCCCTGCTCCACCCTCCCTGCCCACCCTCCACGCTCCCTGCTCCACCCTCCACGCTCCCTGCTCCACCCTCCACGCTCCCTGCTCCACCCTCCACGCTCCCCACTCCACCCTCCACGCTCCACCCTCCATGCTCCCTGCTCCACCCTACACGTTCCACGCTCCACCCTCCACGCTCCTCGCTCCACCCTCCACGCTCACATGGACCCTCCCCGCAGCCTACTCGCTGGTGTCCCCCCACCCTGCGTCCAGTTCTGCAGCCAGAGGGCGCTCTTAAAACACCGTGACCGCGCCCCTTCATGTCTCCTCTCTACCCTTGAGATAAGAGACAGTCTCTTGATTTGACCTTCATGGCGGGGCCCTGCCAGCCCTTCAAAACTCAGCAATGTTCTTTCAGCTGGTGATATACCTTCACCCTGAATAAGATGTAGGTCATGGCCTACTTTGACTACATGTTAAGGTGGTCCAGAAAAAGCAAAGCATCGTTTTAGGGAGAGAAAAATTTTACTTTAGCAAGATCCCAGAAACATGAGCGCCAGTGCACAGTGCCTGGTAGCCACAGAGTAGCATCTTGGCTAACAGCATGGGGCTTTGGCTGCCCATTGACCCGGGTCCCTCTTTGTGGGCTGAGTGACACTGGACAAGTAACCTGTCTAAAGCCCAGTTTCTCCACCTGTCAATTGGAGAGCCCATCATGGACCATCATAAGAATTAAATGAGATAACACAGTGCATGAAAAGTACCAAGCATGGTGCATGACACACAGTAGGTGTCCAGGAGATGATAGCTACTCATGCTGTATGTGGAGGGAGGGCCACATCTCAGGGATGACCTAGTATCTTGAGGTACAATTTCCTCTTGCTCATCAGCACCTTTGTAGAAGCTGCTTGGGAAGAAAGTCTAGGATAGGGGCAAAGCTTGCCTTACCCTCTGTCCTTTCCACAGCTGGTGCAGGGGAGAGCGAGGCAGAGCGGTGGGAAAGGGGGCTAGCATCATGTTGTTTCTCTGCAGTCATTTTTATCTTGTTGATGAAATGGACCCTGAATTTGGAAATTGGAAGTTTCCCTCATAATTTAAAGCAGCACCTACCTCCACCGGTCGCAGGAACTGGAAGATTAACTTCCCCCTGGCCATGCAGGCGGACGCCTGCACCAACTGGCTCCATCTGCAGGCATGGGTGTTGCCATCTCCACGCCTGGCTCGTGGTGAGCCTGGCACTGACACGAGAGCGAGGTTCTCATTTGCTGCTGAAGCAAGGAGAGGGAGAGGCGTCTTCAGGGTGACCCCATGGGACTGGCACCTCCGCAGCAGGTTCTGCGTGCTGAGCAGGGCAGGCATTGCACACACACATCCAACCCTAGCTTCTCATTCTGGGCACCTCCAGCCTTGCCACGGCCAGCTTTCTGGTAGCACATCTGCCTTGGACCGTGGGTGACCAGTACATCCCAAACCATCGCAGCAGCTGGAACAGACTGAACAGGACAGTTGAGAGCAGTGTGGACCCCATACACTCCTACCGTCCCCAAGGAGGGCTGCTGTCTCTGACATTCCCAAGCCCTGCCATTGGCTTCAAAGGTGAGAGGAAGAGGGTGACATTGGTTGGATGGCCAGCTGGCTTGTACTTTATCAGAGAGAATACGGTAGCAGAATGACCACTGGCTCAGCTCTAGTCCAAGCCAAAGCCTGGTCATTGGCTCAGGAGTGAAAGCACAGCGGACTAGATGAGTGGTGGCCAAAAGCTTGTCTCGTGAGCAGGGTAATCACTGTGTGAAATACTATGTTGAAAAGGATGCTGAGGCTGCCTCCTGGGCCAAACAAGAAGAGAATGATTGTCAGTTAGCCATACACTGGCTATGTATGATTGTGGTGGGTTACTTAATATCTTTGAGCCTCAGTATTCTCACCTATAAAATGGGGAGAACATAGCTTCAGGGATGAAGTGAGCTCTCAGCACAGAACCTACACATAGTGGGGGCTCTCAAAACAGTGGTCTGTGTTTGGCCCTCAAAGAATCCCAGAAATCTGCTTACCCTGGCATTTTCATATTAGAGGGTCAGGAAGCACGCATACTCAGCCAAAGCCCAAGGGAAGCTCCCTCTCCCCAGTGAAGGCACCTGCAGGGGAGCAGCTTACGATGAACTTCAGCAAGCAAAGGCTTGGCTCTCAGGCTAGGATGACATTCTGGCCCAGGCAGTAGGGCCTCGAGGCCAGCCCCTCCTAATGAAGGTCAGTAGGCTGCAAGAGCCACCAGCATGGGCCGGAACTGCTGGCAGGGCATGTTCATAGCTCAGGCAAAGGCCCCAAGTTCATGTTTCACCTACCTGTCCCTGACATGGGCTGAGTGTGGGAGAGGCTTTTGGAGATGGTGCTGGGAAGGGATGGGAAGGTACAGGAGGCCACAGTTGAGTTTCTATCTTCTGATTTGCATAAGTCCATGCCCTCACCTGGGAACAAAGCCCTCCTACAACTACCCAGGGAGGTAACCATCCACACTCTGCTTGATTACCACTCAAGACAGAGACCTCATTCCCCGGAGGCAGCTCAGGGCCTCCCTGCCACTTCCCCATCTGGTCTCAAGGCTGCAGCCACTCACTCAGTACATGGCTTGGGCACCTTTGGTGAGCCCAGGCCCAGTGCTGAGCTTGAGGACACAGAAAGCGATCAAACACAAGCCCTGGAAATCATGCATAATCATATGTGACAAATGCAGAACAGGGACTGGGACACAGGCTCTGGGAGGACAGACAGGGGGACCGCTTTCAGAACAGGGCCCACGAAAGCTTGCCCCTGACCCTGTGGCTCACTGAGTATCTGAAGCTGGCTCCCTATGGCTGTCCAGAGATGGGACCTGCACCCTCAGGAAGGGCTCATGCCTGGGGCAGGGGACAATGGACAGTGAGCTCGGGACTTTGAAGCTTGGGCCTGAGTTCTCACTTGGCTCAACCACAGAGTAACTGAGTAACCATGGGCTGGAGCCAAGCATCAGTCCACCCATCTATAAAAGGGGAAAACCACATCCCTGCCCAGCTGAGTGGGAGGGAATTAAGGGGTAGTCACGGACGCTCACTAATGTGGTGCTGGCTCTCCCTGAGCAAGGAAGCAAGTGCCCATGGATGGTCCTGGCTGATTCTAACCCTTCCCTGGGACCCCAGCCCCCAGGGCTCCATCATCTTATGGGAGGACAAAGCCATCATGGGCCCCAGAAGTTTCCTTTAGCAGGGTTCTCAGGGACCCACCATACCACACCCCTTCCTAGAAGCCCCTTCCCACCTCTCTGCACCTTTATCCTTGTTCTTCCCCTGCCTGGAATACCTCCTAGCTTCACCTCCTCTGGGAAGCCTTCCCTGATCTGATCCAACCCACTGTCATGTCTGGGTCAGTTACTGCTCTTAACCCCAGGCCTGTCTGATTTCCCTGGAGTCCCCTCGGTAGGTTTTGCCCCTGAGGCAGGAGACCAGTGTTGGAGGCCAGCACATCTGGTCCTCATACTCTGACCCCTATGTATCCCCCATCACTTCCCAAGACTTTGGTAAAGTCATGCTGACCTTTCAACGTCATGTCTTGGTGGAATAGAGTCCTTGTCTAGCACTGAGTCAGATTCAGTGGGTTCAAGCCTCAGGCTCTGCCGCTAATTTGCTCTGTGACCTTGAGCAAGTCCAATGCCCTCTCTGAGCTTCCTTTTTCCCTTCTGTGAGTTGGTTGAGCTCCTAGGCCAGAGGCTTCAGAGGAGAGGTGAGGAGGTCAGCCCTCACTAGCAGAGGCTCCTGCAGGCAGGGGGGCGAGGCGCTGCTCCCCTCGTCCCTGGAAGGAGCAGTCAGGACAGAGACCTGAATATCCTCCATTTATTTAGGGATGAATAACTCACAGGGCAGCAGGGAGGGAGGAGGGAGGTGCGGGGCAGGGCCCATGCCCCGGCTCAGCGTCCTCTCTCTCTCTGTCCACAGTAGCTCGATACGTCCTCTCTCTCTCTGTCCACAGTAGCTCGATGCGTCCTCTCTCTCTCTGTCCACAGTAGCTCGATGCGTCCTCTCTCTCTGTCCACAGTAGCTCGATGCGTCCTCTCTCTCTGTCCACAGTAGCTCGATACAACCGCACCAGTTACTTCTACCCGACGTTCTCGGAGAGCTCGGAGCACAGCCATCTGCTCGTGTCTCCTGTGCTGGTGGCAAGCGCAGTCATAGGCGTGGTCATCATCCTCTCCTGCATCACCATCATCGTGGGCAGCATCCGCAGGGACAGGCAAGCCCGGCTCCAGCGGCACCGCCACCGCCATCGCCGCCACCACCACCACCACCATCGCCGCCGCCGCCGCCGCCACCGAGAGTACGAGCACGGCTACGGTGAGCTACCGCCCACCCCGGGCCCTGGCACCCCTGTAGCCCAGGAGGCATCAGGGAGGCGGCAGCTCTGCCATGGGTGGCGCAGGGTGGTCAGAGGAGGCGTCCTCGAGGTCATAAGTAATCAGGAAGAGCTCAGAGGCACTCACCATGTCTCAAGGGCATAAGAAGCCCGGTTGTCTGCCAAGGGTGAGGCTGAAGGTCAGAGGGAGGGTGTGGTGCTCCCTCCCCAGCCCGGGCCACTGTGAGACCAGGCCTGCCTGTTCCTACTCTTGTATCACCAGCCTGACCCCCGGGGAGTGCAGGGCTCCTGCTCAGAGCAGGCCCACCCCCAACAAGGAGCCCAGGTACCACCCTCGACCTCCCCCCACCCCAGGATGTGGCTGGTCAGGCCCAGGACGGCCAGCACGCCCAGCTCACATAACTGGACCCATGCTCTCCACTCCTGCCCCTCCCCAGGCACCTCTTCCATGCTGCTTCCTGCCTCTGCACCTTTGCATATGCTCTTCCCCGTGCCCAGAATGCCCTTCCCCATACTTCCCCACCTGACAAAAGCCTTCTTGTCCTTCCAGACCTGGCTCAAATACCACCTCCTTTTGCAAGTTTCTCTGGCCCCTCCTCACCCACCCCCCCAGGCAGGGTTGACCCCCATTCCCTGTGCTTTCTTAGCATTGTACCCACACTCCCATCAGTACCCCGACACAGGATGGCTGTGTTGCATCGGTGAAAGCAGGAGCTGCACGTAGCTCTCCGAGAGTTGAGCTCACAGCCCACAACAGGACCTGGCCCACAAGAAGTACTCCACAGGCAAGGGAAGGAACCGCCTCATTTCATCCTCACAGCAAGAGCTGTGTTGGCCCATTTTAAAGACTGGGAAGCTGGAGGGACTTGTTGAATGGCCTGAGTGCCCCCGAGCCTGCGCCTCGTACTTAAAGCCTAGGAGAGATGCCCACAGGGGTTCCCTAGATTAAGGTTGAGAGGTCAACCTTGGCCTTGAGGAGAGAGATGGACCTAGGGGCAGGCTAGTCCATCCTGAGTCTGTGGTGGAGCCACAGGGCCTGTGCCACATGAGCAAGGCCCTGTCCCTGACATCAGAGCAGGTGGGGTGACAGCAGGCCACAGCCAGGCCAAGTCTGGGGTCAAGCCTTTGCTTACCCAGCCCCCGCTCTGCTGACTCACAGCAGCCCTGCAGCCCTGTTACCGGAGACCCCTCTGTGGGGCTTCCGCCTCTCTGCCCACTTCTATTCTCAGCTCTGGCTTTGGCACCTCCTTGGGGCCTCAGCAGGGAGCCTGGAGGTGCTGATGCTCCTACACCACCTTCTAGCCTTCAGGGGGTGCACAGGGGCTGCATGGAGCCTTGGAAAGATGCCAGGGAAGAGGGGACATGAAAGCAGCAGAGCACCAACAAACACCACCCTACTAGCCCTGGGGACCCTCTGTCCTTCAGATGCCCTCCCCCCGACTCTAGTGATTCAGCCCCTCCCGGGCTCCCTCCCACAGCTCTGGCTGTTCCTTCTCAGACTCTGGTGGATTCCTATTCTCTGAGGAGAGGAATATTAAGGTCCCTCAGAGCCCAACCCTGGGCCCTGGGTCCTCTCTCTGTACCCACCCCATCTGTACCCATGTCCATCTCATCCACCTGCCAGCTCCAGGCACCACCCACCACCCTCACCCAGACGTCCCCGAGACACCACCCCCTGAAGTCTCAGAGGCACCTCAAACCCAGGGGGTCCAAAACAGTCTTAATCTTCCGCTTCTTACTGCACAACCTCAGGAAAGTTGCTTAACCTCTGTGAGTCATCTGTACAATGGGTACACAGGGACCCACCCCAAAAAGTTATTGTCAGGACTAAATTAGCACAGTACCTGGCTTATGAGTAAGTGCTCAGTAAATGTTAACTATTTTCATGATCTCTCCCTACCACCCCGAGAATACCTACTCCAGGGCCACTTCACTAATGCTGCAACCTCCACACCTGCCAGCCACCGGCCTGGCACCTCCAAGGCATTCTCCACAAGACAGCCAACATGACTGAATTGTGACTCTACTCAACACTACTCAGTGGCTCCCCACTGCCCTCAGGACAAAGTTGGTCCTCCTCTGTCTGCCCACAGAGCCCTTCTGTAGGCTGGTCAGGTGCAGAGAGAGGAACCAGCAAATGTTTGAGAATGAATGAAGGAGTGAGTGAATGAGAGAGACACAAAGACCGAGAAAGGAAGGAAGGAAGGAAGGAAGGGAGGGAGGGAGGGAGGGAGGGAGGGAGATTCTCCTTCCATAAGATGGAAATACCTTGAGCTTTAGGAGACAGATCTGGTCCCCTTTCACTTGCCTGGGCTTTAGAGCAAGTGGCTTTATATCCGATTCGTCATCTGAGGGAAGGGGGTAGCCACTTTCCCCCACTCACAAATTGTTGAGGGTGAATGAGATCGTGAGGCTAGAGCACTGAGGTGTTCATGGATGCAAATTCCTCCTCCCCCCTCTCCCGGGCCTGTCAAAGTTGTTAACCTCGGATTTGGGCTGAATAATGAACCGAAGTATATCTTAACTTGGGTAAATAAGGGAAGAGGGAGATGTGGGCCTCCCTGGACCATTTGTTGAAGACAGGAAAGGAGAGGAAATAAGAAAGGAATTTTGGGAGTTCAAATAGGGTGTGTGTGGGGGGAGGGGGTTCTTTCCAGCTGTTCCTCAGGACCTCCACCCAGCTGGATGTCTGGGACTGACCTGGGTCATCTCAGGATTGGCGTCTGGGCTAGGTGAGTGCCTCAGGGAAGCCTCAGTCTCCCTGAGACGCTCAGCCTCTGGGGGGCCCAAGAAAAGCAACCCAGGGAGAGATGTGAACAGCAGAGTGGTTCGGCCCGGTCAGCTCTCAGACCTGCCCACCAGGAAATAGCCTTAGCCTTCCCGAGGTCTGGACAGCCATAGCTCCCCCCACACACTGGCACTACAAGTGGGCCCTCCCCGCAGCAACGCTGGCAGGGATGGGATCCCGGCACCAGAGCCCAGTGGCCTCGGTTCCACTTCTGTCCTCACGCACTTATTTCAGGTTTTCCTCTCTCCTGAGTTTCTTCCCCAATTTCTTCGCAAAATTCTCATCCTTCAGCTGGTGCCCTAAAAGGAAACAAATCTCATTTCAGCTCCTTCTTACAGCATATGTTATTGGGTTCCTTTTTCCTAGTAGAAAAGTAATATGTGTTCACTGTGGAAAACCTTTAAAATACAGAAAATATAAAGAAGAAAATAAGGGTTCTGATCCTGTCCGCCAGACAGAGCCGCTGTTAATATGTTTGGAATATTTTCTTCCGAGAGCTTTCTCGATGTCCATAGATAACCCTGGGACTGCACCTGCAGATGTGTTTCAGATCCAGATTTTTTCCACTCATTGTTGTATCGAGGTGAGAAAAAGAGATTTGGGGAGTAGAAAGAGCAATCTTTGGGGTCTACAGACTATGCATGAATTCCAGCTCCACGTTCTACCAGCAATGCGACCCTGAGCCTCTGGCTGTAGAATGGAAAGGGCAACTACAACAGTGCTGCTGACCTCAAAGAAAGGTCATGAGCCCCACCCAAGACAGACAAGCCCCGCCCCGATGTTACGCCCTGCCCTCTGAGGGGAGGAGCCACCTGGGAGCCCATTGGAGGTGGGGAGACCTCGTGTCTCAACCAGTTATCTTTGCAGTTCCCACTGTCCGCCCCGCCCCGGTCCCCCCACCTCTACCAGACCTGTCAGAAACTGGGAGGCAGAGGAGCTGGGACATCCAGCCACCCTCGGCCCAACCAATAATTTGCTGTGTGGCCTCCAGCAAGACACTGAGCCTCTCTGAACCCCCGCTGTAGAATGAGAAGATTGTACTCCATTGGCATTTCCTAAGCAGTGTTACTAGGTCTCAGAAAATAAGATTCCGTGGCCAAATGCTGCACAAGCACAGTTAAATGTGTTTCTCAGCTGTGGGACATTTCGGAGCCTTTGATGTACTATGTGATAAAAACAAAAACAAGAACAAACAAAAAAAACCAGAAGAGAGTGTAGTATATGTAGTCATCAGAGAAACCCCTTTTCTCCCTGGGATACCTAAAGGGAGGGAGGCCTGACCCCAGAGACCGCTGCTGTCCTCATTCCCTGACACTTCCTCCCCATTTTTGGTGCCCCAGCCCTTCTCCACAGCTCAAAGCTTCCTGTTCACACTACAGTCTTCTTTCACAACTCCCCCTCTTGGCTCAAGCTGTTCTGTTCCCTCTGCCAGGCCTGCCCCTCTTCCCCTGGCTGATTTCTAGACAAGATTCAGCTCTGGGAGCCCTTCCCCCCAGGAAGCCTTCCCTGACCTCCAAGCTGGGTCAGGCCCGTCTCTGCTCCCACAGCCCCAGTACAACATCTGTCAAAGCTTGTGACATGCTGCCCACTACCAGGCTGTCTGCAGGACAGGCTGCTCACTACCCTGGGAGCCCCGCCAGGGAGGGGCCAGCTCTGCTCCCTCTCTGTGACCCCCATGCCCAGCAGGGTACTGGCGCTCATATTCTGGGGCTGTTGCTGACGGAATGAAAGCAGCCCTGGTTGGTAAGGGGCAGGATGGTGAGTTGGAGAGAACAGAATCTCAGTGGCCTCAGGCAGACCTGTGAGGACCCTCCCTGGCACCAGCCTGAGGCCCGGGCTGAATCTCCGTTCCCTGCAGTGTCCGACAGGCACACGTATAGCCGCTCGAGCCACGGGACACGCTACACCTGCAGCCCTGCCGAGGACTGGCCTCCACCCTTGGACCTCAGCTCTGATGGGGACGTGGATGCCACGGTGCTCCGAGAGCTGTACCCAGATTCTCCACCAGGGTAAGGAGGCCTGAGAGGGCAGGGCTCTGGGCAAGAATCCCCAACCCCCATGGGAAACAGCAACACCCCAGATGGCATAAATGCAGAAAACATCTGCTCAGTGGGCATGGCCATCTCCTCGCCCTCCTGACCAAGCTGGTCCCTGTAAGGTGGGGCGTGACTCAGCAGATGTCCCTGAGAGACACTGGAAAAGGAAAAAGAAAGAAACGCTCAGCTCCTTCAGGCTGGGTGAAGAGGTGAGGTGGAAGGTCCAGGCCTCAGCCCCTTAGTTTGCGCCCCCAAAGCCCAAATCACATCCACTGGGATAGGCATCATTGTGTCCAGACTGCACTCGTGGCCAGCAGGTGGCCCTGTCCCATGGGGGGTATTCTTCCCTGGGGAGCCTTTGGGTCCTATCCTGTCCTGCCAGCCACCCTCAGGCACATCGCCACCAGTTTGTACATGAAAAGAGGAGTCTGGACCTCTATCACTTCCCCACCAGGAGACCACCTGGGCCCCACAAACAGCCCCATCCTCCCCATCACCCTTTACCCTCTGCCCCAGGGGCACTGGGAGGTATGAACTTCGCCTGCAGGTGGGTGCTTTTTCACCCTGCAGCCATGGGCCCCAGGGACACCTTCCTAACCCTGGAAGGGCCACTTTGGGGTGAGTTGAGACCCAGAAGTGTCTGGCAGCCTGAGGCTGCTCCCACCAGCACCACCCATGCTCGGTGCCCAGCCTGCAGATGCTCCAGCAGCAGCGGCTACAGTTCTGAGCCATCTGAGACCCAGAATTCGGTGGCTCGCTCACTCACGTTCACACGGAACACTGGGGCTGAGTCAGGGCCAGAATCCAGGTCTCGGTGGTTCTGGGGTGCCCCTCCCCAGGGAGTAGAGGGGTTTCATCGGATTCAGTGTGACAAAGGCCTGACCTGGTCCATGCTGGGGCAGCTTGTCGCTGCGGCTAGGCCCCCGGCCCTCGGGGGCGACCCCGCCACCCACCACTGAGGCCGGCTTGCACAGGGCCCTGAGGGAGCCTATTCTCTTGCAGTTACGAGGAATGTGTGGGGCCGGGGGCCACTCAGCTGTACGTCCCCACAGACGCCCCGCCCCCCTACACGCTGACCGACTCCTGCCCTGCGCTGGACCGCACCCTGGATGCGGGCAGTGGCCACAGCCCCGGCCAACACCAGCAGGCACAGAGACCGCAGGGCCAGAGTGGCCTCCGCACCATTTCCGTGGACACCCTGCCGCCTTATGAGGCCGTGTGTGGGGCCAGTCCCCCCGCATTGGGCCTGCTGCCACTGCCGGGACCAGAACCAGGGCCGAGGAGCTCCCAGGACTCGCCCACCCCAACCCGGGCCCCAGCCTCAGGCCCAGAGAGGATTATGTGAGGGACCCAGCGGCCGGTCCTGCCAGCCCCTCAGAGCTGAGCCACACCTTTCAGGCACGCAGGGGCGCGCACGCGCGCACACGCACGCACGCACACACACACACACACAGAAGCTCACACAGATGTGCACACATGGCACTCCCACATGTACACACAACTTGGACACACGCACACACTGACGCACCCATGTGCGCACACACATCCAGACGCCCCACGTGTGCAGACGTGCACACACACAGGCCCCCCCCCCACACACACACACAATCCCATCTGCGAAGGTTTCATTATAAAGGAAGCTCTCCTGACCTCCCAGTCTCCTCCCCAGCCTGTCAGTGATGCCTCTGTAGCCAATGCGGGGAGAAGCGAGGTGGAGAAGGGACCAGGGCTCATCCCGCCCTCTCCATGGGCCTGTCTGCCCCGCCCGCACCAGGCAGGCTGTGCCCAAACGCTGATTCTGCCTCCAAAAACTGCTCAACCGTCCCAGGTAGCTGCCTGCCCCGACCCCACCCCAGAGCAGCTGGCCCTCCCGGCTGGCAGGAGAGGCCTCAGTGAGGCTCAGCTCCGCACTGTCCCTATCTCCCAACCCCAGGGCAGAAGAGCCACAACGTCAACACCCTGCCACTTATAGGGTAAGGGACCCGGGTCTGGGGGCTCAGGCACAACCTGGAGACCCTCGCAGCCCACCTTGCCCATCCCTCGCCCAGTGCCCTCAGTCTGGTGGTGCTAGCGGAATCATCTCCGAAGCCCCCACCCCAAGCCACGGGTGATGGGCAGGGCCCTTGGTAGGCATGCGGTGGTGGTAGTGGGTCACAGCTGTGCCCACGTCAGTCCAACCACTGCCCAGGACTGAGGGTCTTCAAAGAAGATGGAGGGCTGCCGGGTACGGTTCTGAGGAGAGGAGCAGCCCCTCGCTAAGTACATGCCCAGCCGACCATTATGGCCTAAGCTTGAGTGGGCTGGAGTCAGACTCCAGAAGCAGTGCTGTGCTCCTGGGCAGTGGCGCATAGTGGAGAATTGTGAGCCAACGCATTCTGGTCCTGCCCTCCATGGTGTTTGAGGAGACGAAATGAAGGGGATGTGGGCCCCACTATGCCACTGCAAAAGCACCAGTGGCTACACCTTGGCCTTGCTGCCGGGGGTACCACGGAAGGGGATATGTGGGCCTGGTTGTAGAGACTCAGATCTTGGCCCCTGAATCCCAGCAATTTCCATCAGAGACCATGCAGGTAACAGAGCTAATTCCTGAAGACCCAGCCTGCCAGAGGGCGGCAGCCCAGCATCTGTGAAGAGCGT